AAAGGTGATTGTGGGGTTCATTTTGAAATGAGATCTTTGTGAAAGTGGAGTTTTTAGGATTTGGGTGTGTGATGATGATGAACGTTGAGAAATATATATATAGATATATATATATATAGAGAGAGAGAGATATGAATGAATGTGAGTGGAAGGAAAAAGCATTAATTGGGAGGGTGTGGAAGACAGATGGGGTGATTTATGATGTTGTATAGTAGGTTGTCTGCATTTATTATTATATTTACTTCCCACTCTCTCTTTCTGCCGTTTCCACTTTAATCAACACTTCATACTACTATTATTCTTCTGCAATTTTACACTACCCACCATCTCAATGCATTTTTACTTATATAGCTCCTACACATGGTCAACTTTTAAAAACAAAACAAAAACTGTACTATTTAGCAAAACTATATATATGCATAAGATAACATTTCACTCTCTAAAATCTAATTAAAATAGTAGTAGATGTGCACATGCAAACATATCATTGTAAACTTCATATATTGCATTACGAAATCGCTGTCTTTCTTTAATTAAGGGTGAAAAGAAGGACCGTTTGAGAAATTTTATAACTGCCGAGTGGTCCTGTTGAAGGTTATTTATGGGATGAGATTTGAGAATCTGGTATCACGTAAATTTATCTCATTATCTGTCAGTTATTGCTCATTCATCCCTCTGCAAGTGCGGTTTCGCAATCAGATCCTTATTGCTTTCTGATACACCGTTTGTTTATATAATACGTTTCCGTCTTGTATTCGAAGTCTCCTCAATTCATAAATCTTATCCAAAAATATTAAAAACTAACCAAATTAAACAAAAAAAAAACTTTTTCTAATCAGTTCAAATCGATCTTTTTTATTCTTTATTCATTTAAAATGTATATTTTACGACTTACATTAAAATATGCGTGTATTTATATTGGGTTTATATTTTAGGACTTACATTTATAATTTATATAGGTTTTTATCTTTGAAAATTAATTAATGTACCGATAGGTTAGAAAAGAAAGTACATGTTCATCAATATTTGAATTAAAGTTAAGTAATACCAGAAATCCTCAATTATACAACAACCCGTTTAAATACATACATTTCATGGCTTGGTTCGAAATCCATCTTAATAATTCATTTATATTGATAGCCAAGTATCTTTAATTTTGCCTCCTATTTCGTCGACACATACATTTTGTGCTTAAAAACTTCAAACTTTCATATTGCTTTCCTCTTCCAAAGATGCAACATACCAACGCAAAAAACATTTACCCTCTGCACCTTTAAAATCATGTTAAATATTAAGAAATATTAATACATGCTCTCAATATTTAATTAATATTGTCATATCAATTAAAATTATATATATTTGTATATAAATCTTATCTTGTAAACACAATTTATAAAATTAAGTTAGATTTAAAATTTAAATGAAAATTAACTTTATGAGAATGAATTACATTTAATAAATATAAACAAAAATTTGGAAACTGAGTTATAAAAAGAATATATTTTCTTAGTATTAAACACATCTTTCTACCGAAAATAGTTTTATCGTTACTTTGAAAAACAAGCTCTTTGTTTCAAATATGTTGCATACTTAAGACTTAAACCCATAGCACATTCACTAAACCAAAACAAACTCATTTATTTACATGTTTGTTAGACATGAGAACTAATATGTTGCTAGAGGTATAGAGAAAATTATGATCTTCATTATTTTTGTATAATTATCGAGCATAAATTAATGTAGTTATTTTTTCCAACTGTTTCCTATGAAAGAATGTGATTGTATTGAAATTTTATACAGATGTTCTTGCAACTGAAATTATTTTAACCAACTTAAATACTCGAGTCTGAAATAAAATAAGTTCGTCTTTGAATGAGTGTCTAAGGTAAGAAATGTGTATCCATTGGATGTTTTTTCAACAAAAATAATCCAAAAAATTAAAAGAAAAAATCATGACAGTTCTTTCTCATTCTGCTGGGACCCCAGTGGCCAGACACAGAAGAATGCATGCACGTTTGAAAGAATATTAATTACACATATTTTGAAAGGTTTTCGAGTGAGTTTCCACTTACGTTCTAGCCATCGCAGGAGTACAAGTTTGATTCTTCCATTTCATAGTTACAAACTATATATGATTATTTTCTGTCCATCCTTTTGAAGACATTCAGTTATGGGACGAGTTGCTATCCACATACTTTATACATAATCCATTTTCAGTGTTATACTTCTAACTAAAACCACCATTTTATTGACGACTTCACTTCAAAACTAAAATTAAGAAAACTTTGTTCAGCTTTTACACTGATTAATTTAACCTTTTTATTAGTAGTATTTTTTTTAACTAATTAAATGTAATAATTGTTGGACCTATCAAGAAGAATGTTGTTTGGGTTCATCACCAAGACAAATTATCGACTCTAACTCTAGAGTTGAGTTTAGCAAGAAGGAGGTTCATCAGAGAAACACATTACCAATAAGATATGAGTTCAATTACGGATTGACACCACTTCCTATTCTTAAAGCAATGGGTCAACGAGTCTTTTATCTTTATATAATATTCTATTTTTTTTATTTCTATCTAATGTGTGATTTAGACTCAGACTTGGATTCCTAACTATGATAACTTACCCTAAAAAATATGTGTCATGCAAAAGGACGAAGAAGAGAAAAAAAAATGGTTCCTTTCAAGAATTGAGTGGTTGTCTCATCCCTACATAGTTGCATGATGGAGCCAAGCACTTGCCACAATGGACGGTGTGATTGTTGAAATAAACTTGCCTTATCCCACTTAACAAGTTGAACATTATGTGGAGCCCTATCAAAGATTCTTTTTATGACTTTAAACTTCGATCAAATTAAACATGTTCGGAGAATTATACTAAATTCTATATTTTTCTCAGTTCGATTCTAGTAACGTTATGTTCATTTGTCCATGTGTTTTTCACAGATCAAGAGGAGGCTGGTTTCCTCAGATAAGATCTAAGGAAGTCAGAAATTGTGGCACTACAAGAAATATTATAATTACATACTGATAATTATATACGGATTTTTCCGTATATAATTATATACAGATTTTATATACGGATTTTTCCGTATATAAATTATATACAGATTTTATATACGGATTTTTCCGTATGTAATTACATACGGATAAATCCGTATGTAATTATATACGGATATATCCGTATGTAATTTACCTACGCTCTTTTTATATACGGATTTTTGTTCGTATATAATCCGTATGTAACATCATTTTATATACGGATTTTGAAGGTTATATACGGATTTTAATCGTATATAATTGTGATTTTTCTTGTAGTGTGGTACCAAAATGAAATTCAATGTAATAAATGAAGTTTCTGACTTCTGAAACCAATTTGTGAAGAAGAAAAGTCGTAAGAAAGTGGTTTCATTAACTACACGAGTTGATCTTACAAACATCTCAATGTGAACAATACGCGTTTCCTCTGCAGCGTATCTGTCACCACTGCCAATAAATTAATACGGCAAGGTCTGTTTGGATAATACTGACATATCTAACCAGACATATACTCGTTATTGTTTCTTTAACATCGATTGATAGAAGAAATTTGAGGCAATCTTTAACTTTAAATAAAATATTAAGTTATTTCTTGTGAGGTTTGAAATTTTTGACACTGCATTCTTATGGAAATCTTAAAATTTTGAGCAATTGACGGCAAACTTCTAATAAGAAATTACCATGTTTGCAGTTTTCCCGCAAGGATTTAGACGAAGAAGTTTTAGTAACATTCCTTATCCCATTTCACAATCATCGTCGTGTTTTTAAGATTTTTTTTTATACCACATTTAATAGTTTTACGTTACTTAAACAAAGATAAGACAGTTAAATATTATTTTTTTTCTTCTATTCTTTTATACTATTTTATAAAAACAAAATCGTGGAGTCTAGTTAGAGAATATCTTGAATTTATTAAGTTGTACTTACATCATCTTATGTTTCTCTTTTTGCAATACTCGTTAAAATACTATGAAACGAACACTTTTATATAAGTTTAGTATCAATCATGGTCTGATACTCTTTAAATTGCTTAATAGTCTCAGTCTTACTTTTTAAAATATAAATTCACGTTCTCTTTAAGTTTACTTTTTTCCTCTTCTTGACTTTCTTCCTCCTTACCACAGATGATACAAATTGTTAAGTTTTTTGAGAAGACATATTAGAAAGAGTCCATATGTAATCGAAGAAATTTGAATCCAATATTAATTAATGCATATTAGTTATCTTTTACCATCTACAACTCAAAACCTTAATAATTTTTTAAGTTTCTCACACTGTATACTGTTCATGTCCAGTTAATGAGATTTTCAATTTTACAGTAAAATTTCTCATATAAAATGGGCTAAACACGATGCTTTTTACTGATGAAGTTTTAGACTCAAATTTTATGTAACTTATTAAAAGTCGATTTTAATAACACTAGCTTGAGCAATGTTATTTGTTTTAAGTCAGAAGTAAATTTTGGTAATTACATATCCAAAATCAAGTTTGATTCCAAGTAGATTCAAAAATCAATTTATTTAGAATCAATCCACGTAGATTCAAAACGAATTTTACAAACACAAATCCAAACACCCACGATATCAAATTGATATCAGAGCACTATTCACATTGATGAGATGTGAAGTCGTACTAGAACGTGTACCTGTGGAAAATAGAATGAAATTAACCGTAAAATGAATTCTATTTCTGGTTAATAAGTTACCATTCGGTGAATGCCTTTGATAGAAATGTCAAAGTGGCAGTTCCAAATATATGTATTCAAAATTAATCGAATCACCGAGCAGACCAGTTTAATGTGTTCATGTGCTCCTGCACTCTTGCTGGGGGACAAAGTGACATACAACCAAGATAAGTAAATCATCTCCTAAATTTATTTTCTGTTTGATATTTATAATGTCAAATAACATGGATGCTACCAGAAGTTAAATGATTGTATAGCATATAAGTCCATGAACCCTTCTCAAGAAGAATCACTTTCAGTACATGGCATTCGGGATGATGAAATATTATGACAATTTAGCGTTATTACAATGCCAAACAATAGAATTGTGAGCTAAGAAATTCGTAAGTTGTTAGCAATACATAAAAAATAACTGGTGAAGCATGGGGATATGTAAGATGTAATGTAGAACAGAAAAAGAAAAGATGGATCATTATTAACATTATTTTCAGTGTATACGTATATAGGTTAATTGAAGCAGCCTCAGAGGCCAGAAGAGCCCCAGCTAGCATCAACTGCATCAATGATCTTTGCATGTAGTGTGGCTCCAGAACAAGCAACTATGCCACGATCAAGGCCTTCTAAATATAAGCCTTTTGAGAAGTCTAGGGGAAGTCCTCCTGCATCTGTTACCATCCCACCAGCTTCCTGTATGATGATAACACCTGCAGCATGATCCCATATTTTCTCCTTGTAACCAGCCCTTGCAAATTTCATGAAAACCTCAGCATCCACACGAGCTATTGCTGCATACTTTACCATGCTGTATACCCTCAACGGTTGTTTCCTGCACACATGACAGAAAAGTGATATCTTATAAGTTAGAACCATGGTAATAAATTTATGTTATCTCTGTGCCTTCTTCCTGAAGGTATTTTAAAATTTCCTTTTCATAGAGATACTTGTTAATGTAACTAGTTCTTTAAGTAAGGGATATGTAACCACTCATCACAATTTCTGCTTTCCATCAAAGTTAATAAAAGCCTACAATAACAGGTAGATTGGACCTTAGTCAAGAATCTTAAGTTTTAATATGCATCCAGTACTGATTTAACTAGGATACTTGAAAAATAACAAAAGAAGATAGCATAGTTCCATGTCAATATATCTCTATGCCGGGATAATAACAATAGTAATAAAAAACAGTTTTCTGATATTCAGTTTAGTATTTAGAAGTCCTTAGATAACAGTGGGGAACTTGGACTTGTCTCCCTTTATATACAAACTATCTTGTAACAATTCATTCTTTCTGTAAATCTATTATGGTATACCAAGAGAGTGTAAATAGGAGATGGAATGAAAAATAAATGCACCTGAGACCAATAGTGTGAGCCAGCCCTGCAGTAAAAGAATGGCTTGAATTGGCCTTCTCAACTGGTTCACAGAAGGTGGCAAGTGCAGGATTGTCAATGGGAGAGACAGAAACTTGTTTTGCATGGTTTGGCCACACAAACATCTTATTGACATGGATCAGCGGTTGCATCCAAGCCTTCCCACTACCCCTTTTAGCATATAGTACACAACCTTTGTTCCAAGTTTCAGCTGTTGGAGGAGTCAACTTGGATATAATCCTATGATAGCGGTGATGATAACTTAACCATTCCTTCCTCATTGGGTAGTTAGGACATCCAAGAACACCAAGCTTCACTTCTCCATCCTCTATGAGTGCTAGAGCTACAGCATATTGATCTCCACGTACAAAACCCAATGTGCCATCAACAGGATCCAGTACCCAAAATCTTCCGGTGGGACCCCCCGTTGAGCTACAGCGACCAATGATTTCAAGAACATCTGAAGTTGAAAGAGCACATTTTGGCTCCTGAACTCCAAATCGAGGTGCTTCAGCTAGACATTGGTTCACAGTTTCAACCACAGCTTCTAACAGTTCAGATGAATTAGCTTTGGACAGACTTTGAACATCTTCTTCAGCAACAATCGAGACATTTTGACTCCCTAAACATTCTGACAACATCCAGCTGACAATTGCTTGAACACTCCAATCTGTTTAAGGGTACAATTGAAACGTGATTGTTGGTACGAATGTATCAATCAAACTTGAAAAGCTATATTTACTAAAAAAACTCAACAAAAGAAGCTTCAACCATAGCTATACAAAAGTTACAGAGAAATATAATGAAAGACACACATGAATTGATATAGATCTTTACTTTTGCCAATGTGACTATGATTTGACATCGGATCTTTACAGAGAGAAAAAAAGAACATGTAATGTGATGACCTTTAATATGAAAATAATGAATTCGTGACTAATTAAATATATTTCCCATTTGGAAATGTGAAATGAACAAAGAGAAAGGTCTAGCCAGTAAATTGAAAACTTGTCTCAATTTTTCCAATAGAGAACAAATTATCAACACTTTAAAAAGTAACCAAACAAGGTGTTTATTGGAGCAAGACTTACAGCCTCTACATGCTGATTCAGTATATCCACATTTCAAAAATCTCCTTGACTTCTAAAGGGATTACAGAGGTCTATTCTGCTAAAAACTTCAAACTGTCCTATCCTCATCCTTTTTTGTATTCACTATTTTGTTCTAATACAATTTTGTTAACAAAAGGAAAAAGAGTATGTTTTAGATAGGATGAAGGGGAGAAGTAAGAAACATAAGGAAAACCAAATATCCCATGAATCTGAACTGATTCGACCAATATTGAGGAAAAATAATATATTGATATGTATCAGGTGTACAATACAGTTCAGTCAAAAAGTGGTTTACTTGTAGAACAAGATGAGGTTACAGAAATCACCATGTAAATATTGCAGAATATAAACCAAAATTGAATCATACGGCATTCGACCAGGAAATTACATCAAATATGGGAAAAATTGTGATCGTAAAAAATTATTGAACTAGGCATATATCTCCTGGAAAAGATAAATCCTATGGAAGTTCAACCAGCTGATAAAGCCAAGATATGAACTTGCACTTATGCCCTCTGTCTCCTTCTTATTGAAAACCACTTTCTGTAATAAAGAGTACTACTGAGGTTCTATCCAATCTTATACCCTTTTGTTAGCATTATTATATTTCATAGTTTGAAAGGCACCTTGTTTTCCCCAACCATACTGTTTCCCTACATTAGAAACGTGAATCTTTGAAAATCCATGAATCTTCCTAATTCAAATGTCACTTTCCACACCAATGACTTTGTCTTGACTTAAAATCAGTTTTGAAAATAAGTATTGATCTGGTTATGTTCTCGCTTATCAGACAACTGAGACAAGGTTTTTGCATTGCTCCCTTTTGGCGTTTAAGAACCAAAGAACAAGCCACTTGTCATAATTTGAATGGATTTGCACACAACTTGGCAAAGCCGCAATGTGAAGTCTCCTAGCTATTCAACAGACATAAGCTATATTTCAAACATATATATTGACTAAAGTTAGTATCTTACATTTACCTGCCCGCTAGTATGCTACTACTTTCTAAAACCACTAATATTTTAGTCTCTCTTTATTGTTTTTTTAATTCAAAACTATTGGTGATTTTCAATTTTCTATAATTAATATTTCACAGACAAAACCACACATTTACATCTTACATTTCTTAAATGCTTCTTAATTCGTATAATAACCTTGAAGTACCATAATTACCTCAAAGTTATTGCCAGATAGCATAGCATCCAATGCAGAAAACCAGGTGGCAAAATGAGTTAAACCAAATTTGCTTAGAAAACATCTTGATTTGGGAAAACAGGCATACTTAAAAACTAGCCCCAGCAACAGAAGCAAAAAGCTTTACCAAAATACTGAATTGAATAAACTGCATTCACCTGCTACTGTAACCGGAGAATTATCATCCTTGGACTGCACCTGACGATGATTGGTGACAGACCCAGTGTCGGAAATTATACTGTCCTGCACTCTCTGGCAGAGGGAACACGCCATCTGCACTGCTCTAACAGCCACCTCCAATTCCTTGGAATAATCCTCTGATAACTCAGGCAAAACATCCAACCTTTTCTGCTGCTCCTCCTCCATCACGGGAAATTTTGACACAAAACCAATGTGCTGCTTTGAGAGGTTGTTGGGCACTTTATAGTTGGAGCATGAAACTGGTTGCTTCACTGCATGCTTGGTCTTGGTCACTGTGAAGACATCATCGTACCCTTTCCCCATACGTGGGATTTTTGTACCAAAGCTTGAAAAATATGAAGACATATCTATCAAGTGTCCAACAATTTCTCTTATCAACGTGAAAAAATGAATTTTTTTTTATAATGTTGAAAGAGAGAGAAGCAAAAACAAAGTTGGATATTTATTGGTATTTGAAAGATAAATAATAGAAGCAGTGATGATAATGAATGAATGACCAACCCTATCAATGTCCAGATTTGACACTATTATGTTAGGGCTGCTTTTTGTTTTGATTTTTAGTATTTCGGGTATCAATTAAAGTGGTTTTAAATGCTCTTTTTTAATATTCGATACTGACTCCTTTGTTGTTTATTGGATAAAGAGGTAAAGATAGATTTGAGTTGAGGTCTTTATCGTCATAAAATTAATTAACTCCAACACAGCCAAAGAAAACAGCCTTCTCATCATATCAATAAATAAAATAAAACAGAATTGCATAGTGGCATTAGTGGCGGTTGGGAGATACATTTAGTGACAAAGATCCTTTATCATTCAACTAACCCTTAATAATGGAGTTTTCTAAAATGGCAAAACCTATTTGGTGATGTCATCCAATTATACTACACTTTTTCAAAATCTTCAACTTTATTTGAATAATGCTTTATACCTACGCACTTATGAATATATCTTTTCTTCAACATGTGAAAACTCGACCAGAAAAATATTTCTTTTCAGCAACACAGACGTCAAAAACCAAATAATAAACTAAAACAAACTTATATGATTTAATACAAAAACCAAATATATAATCCAATAAATAATTAATTTAATTATGTTAGGTTGAATTTGATCCGATACTTAAAATACTTAAAGTATTTGGGTTGAGTTAGATCACTTTTAAATTCATATACCTATATAAATGTATGTAAATGATATTTTTCTTTTAAAGTTTAACATGATTTGAATATATTAATATAGAAAAATATACTTTATAATGGTTTTGAGGGAAGTAGAAGCAATGTTCCCATGCTTCGTGCTCATTACAATTGTTTCTCAATTGAAATTTGATCTAGTAGCCCAAGAGCTTCTTAAAGCTCTAACCCAATACAAAGAAAAAATAATATATAAATAAAGGATTTTTTTTTAATTTTATGTATTTTAAAATTAATTTAATATTTTCTTGTATTGATATATCTTATCACTGTAAATTCTACTATTTGGAATTATTGGCTAAGTACATTATTTATATTAATTTTGAAACTCCATTTCTATCATGAAAGCCCAAATAAACACGAATTTAATTTGTTTTACTCAGTTTTTTTCTTATGCTTTGAAGTCTCCTAACATAAAGAAGAAGCTTAATCATTTAATAACTTATTCAATTCCTTACCTTTTTTAAATA